TAGTGAAAAAGGGTAGCAGTGTTCCATTGTGGGATTGATCACCACTGAATGTGATCAGTGACTGTAAGATGAAAAATGACAAGTATCACAAGAAGTCTTTGTTTTTAAAATAGCTCCTTAATTTAAATGTACAATACCCAACTTCATTCACATTTCAAATTAAATGATTCCACTGATTAAGGTTATGTTATGTTTTAAAACAAATTTTTGCATGTTTTTGTAAGGAATTTATTATCATTTAGAGTCAGTGTTTAATTTTTCTCTTAATTGTCTGTCTTTGGTGATGATAGAACATATCTCTATAATAAAAAAGCGGTATAGCTTGTTAGTAGCCCATCAGCAGGTTGAGGCAGTTGAAGCTCAGGCCCCTCCAACTACCTAACACACTGTTTGCGTGGTCTACTTCAGACTTAATTGCTCTGGCCTTTTTGACCAAATATTCCTACCACACTTAAAATTGAAAGCTGTCTGGAGGACCACAGATTAATCTTGACATGTCTGTTCCCATTTAGCAGGTAGGATGCAGTTGTTGAACACATGAAGCAGAGCTTCTGGAAAGAAACTCTCATTTCCATTGCCTCTGAAAGGAATTTATTTCACTTGGCCAGAACTGTGCTGAAATATGAACCAATCCCAGGGAGAAGGGGGTGATTCACTCCAAAACCCCAGGATGCTTTTCTGAACCAAAATTTTCCAGGGGCAGCAGTGATGCTATAGAATAGTCCCTCTGTAGCCCATGATAAGTAAACGTTTAATAAACACAAACCCGTGGATTTATTAAATTTAGTGAAACAAAACAGAATTCTGTCCCTGTCTGCCCCTCTTTGAATAAGGAGATAAAAATGAAGTTAGGAATCCAGTAAAAGTCTGAAAGTTAGAATGTTTTGTTTTTCAGTAGAAGCTCAGTCTGTTCACTCTACCAAATGTTTCAGTGGAAAAAAATTTTTTCATTTGAGAGTGGATTTTGACAGCCTTGCTTTGCACATTGCTTGTTGTCTTGGGATAGAGTTAATTTTCTTCCTAGGAGCTGGTGCAGTGCTGCATTTTGGATTTAGTATGAGAATATCATTAACACACTGTTGTTGTGAAGTAGTGTTCACTGTAAATCAGAGAGTCTTCAGTGTCCCATGCTTTGTCAGTGTGGATGTGCACAAGAAGCTGTGAGGGAGCATGGCCAGGAGAGCTGGCCCAAACTGGCCACAGGGATATTCCATACTGCAGAATGTCATGCACAGTGTATGAACTGGGGGGAGTTGGCCAGAAGGGGCCAAGTGGTGCTTGGGGACTGGCTGGGCATTGGTCAGTGGGTGGTGAGCAATTATATTGTGCATCACTTGTCTCTCTTGTGCTTTATTCCTCTCCTTTTTTGTCTCTCTTTTCATTATCACCATTACTATTTTTACATTTTACTTTATTTCAGTTATTAAACTGTTGTTGTCTCAATCCACAGGGTTTACCTTTTTGCTTATGCTCCTCCCTTGTTCCATTGGGGCTGGGGGGAGGAGTGAGTGAGTGAATGTCTGTGTGGGACTTAGTTGCCAGCTGAGCTTAAACTGTAACAGTCCTTTTTTGTCACCTATCCTGGGGCGTAATGGGTTGAGATAATAAAACAGACTAGATTTGCTAGAACAAAATTATTGTAAGCATTCATTATATTAGTTTAATAGTCACTGGTCACAATGTTCATTTTGTGCTCTCATAGCTGTTCTGCTTGTTCTCAGAGTTACTTGCAGTGTGTGCTCTCTGTTATGCTGTTCACCTGTGGAATTTGGTCTAAGGTTATCATGCTGTACTTTTAACATGAGCAACCTGATCTAGTGGAAGCTGTCCTGCCCATGGTAGGGGGGTTGGAACTAGATGATCTTTAAGGTCCTTTCCAACCCAAACCTTTCGATGAATCTGTGAACACTGGCTTATGATATGACAGAATTGCTGGTCACAAAACTAATCTGGTATTTGTACTCAGTGTTTCTGTCATCTCTGTACTTTGTGAGCCATCTATTAGAAACTATTAATAATTAGACCTTTTCCATTTCATCCTCTAAGAGTTAACTCGTCCTATGGAGGAGACATGATTCCACATCTTCCCCTTCTCTGCCAGGCTAATAAAAATAGCTCTTGAAAATTTTGAATATCCTTAGGATGTGGAAACTAGCATGGCCCTATTGCCAGGAACCGTGAATGTGTGCCAGGTCTTGTTTAGGGTTAAGCAACTATTTGCAGCTACTCAAATCTAGTGACAGGCACTGTGGCTGCTCAGACCCTGGCGAAGGGTGTTGCAACTGAACCAGAGGACCAGCCGGTGCCAGCGTCAGTCACTCCTTTTCACCAGAAGAAGTGGACACAAAAGAGCTCATTTAGAAAAGGAGAGCAAAGCAGGGCCATCATAAGAACAGGAGGAAGAGGCAGAACAAGAGGGAACCACTTAATCCCTGTCCTGGAGTGAGCTGTGGGATATGCAAAAATGTTTCAGCTGTTGACCAGGTGAGCACATTACCACCTGGCTGCTCTGACTCTGGGGTAAGAGGCTAGTAGCCTGGAATTAAAGGGTATGGAGACCAAGCAGCTGGGATCAACCTCTAGAGAAAGGGGCGTTGACAAGGTGAGTGGAAAAGAGCTACAAGCCCTCAGCCTCTGGAGGCAACTACTGTGGAGTGTGAAGGAAAGGCATCCATTCAAGGAAGATGTTACTTGTCACCCAGGCAAGTAGGCCACCACAGAGAGAGTTGTCCAGCACCTGAGGGGAATTAGCTTGTTAGAGATGATTTATTGTGACCCAGGCAATGCACAGTCACCCACAGATCCAGAAGAATTCCAATGCACGTGACCCACAAAGCAGAAATTTGTACAGAGTGTGTTATTGTATGCCAGTTTACTGGACTATATGCATCCTGTGGCCGAGCATGTCAGGCTCACAGGAGTATAATGCTCTAGTAGCCACCAGTGCACAGGGTACCCTAATGCCATTCAGCTATGCAGGGGCATTACTATTTTTGGAGTGAGAGGGGGATCCCAAGAGCTATCTGTATTGGAAGCTGAAGTGAGCCTGACTAGGAGTGTGTGGCAAAAGCACCCCACTGTGACTGACCTGGAGGCTCTGTTTATGCTTGGCAAAGACTATCTCAGGAGAGGGTATTTCAAGGACCCAAATGGTACCAGTGGGTGCTCAGTACAACCTTGGAGGCAAAGGAAGTTAAGCAGCTGCCTGCCTTGCCTGGTCTCTTGGAGGACCCTTTTGTTGTAGGTTGCTGAAGGTCAAAGAACAGATGCTAGTTGCTACCCCAACATTGCACTGGCGGCAGCATCGCACCAACCGAGACTCCTGTGATTCAACTGAAGAGTCAAGGAGCAATCAGCAGGACCCACTCACACTTCAGTAACCCCATATGGCCAGTGTGAAAGTATAATGGAGAGGGGAGACTAACAGTGGACTATTGTGGCCTGAGTGAAGTCACACCTTGGCTGAGTGCTGCCTTACTGGACATACTGGAACTCCAATACGAACTGAAGTCAAAGGCTCCAAGTGGTTTACCACAAGAGATATTGCCAATGCATTTCTCTCAATCCCTTGGGCAGGCCACAATTTACTTGGACTTAAAAGGTGTCCAGTATGCCTGGAATCGACTGCCCCAGGGGTGGAAACACAGCCCTCTCATCTGCCATGGACTGATCCAGACTGCACTGGAACAGGGTGAAGCTCTAGAACACCTGCAGTACATGGATATTATTGTATGGGGCAATACAGCAGCAGAAGTTTTTGAGAAAGGGAAGAAAATAGTCCAAATCCTTCTGAAAGCTGATTTTGTCATAAAATAAAGGTCAAGGGACCTGCATGGGAGATTCAGTTTTTGGCAATAAAATGGCAAGATGGATGTTGGCAGATCTCAGTGGATGCGATCAACAAAATAGCAGCAATGTGCTCTATACTGTCAACCCCTACGCTTTTGGAATTGGGGATATAGAGGATCTGAGACCTGCTATACTTCAGCTGAAAAAGAGATACTGGCAGCTAATCACGGGGCTCAAGCCACTTTGGAGGCGATTGGTGCTGAAGCAACAGCTCCTCCTGGCACCCCGACCAGGCTGGATGTTCAAAGGCAGGGTCTTCTCTACACATCGTGCAGCTGATGCTACATGGAGTAAGTGGATTGCAGCCATCACACAATGAGTTCAAACAGGAAATCCCAGTTGTCCAGGAATCTTGAAAGTGATCATGGACTGGCCAGAAGACAAAGGTTCCAGAATGTCAACAGAGGTGGAGGTAACATGTGCTCAAGAGGCCCCACTGTATAATAAACTACCAGAAAAAATGAGATGCAATGTACCTACTGTATTATAGAAAAGCATCAGAGATGGCAGAACATTATGCCCAGTATATAAACTGGTGGGACTGGAAGGGGGCTGATCACTGCTTGGAGACCGGCTAGGCATCAATCAGTGGGTGGTAAAGCAGTTGTATTGTCTTTCTTGGACTTCATTCCTGTCTCTTTTTCTCTCCTCATTACAACAATAAGAATTATAATTTGTTTCAGTTATTAAACTGTTCTTATCCCACAGGTTTTACCTTTCTCTGATTCTCTTCCCCGTTCCACAGGGGGGATGGGGAGGGACGAGTGAATGAGCAGTTGTGTGGTATTTAGTTGCCAGCTGGGGTAAAACCATGACACTTGTGCTTTCTAATGTATATCATCCTGGGAGTAGGGCTTGTGAATTTTTGGATTTCTGCTTGTATTACAAGGGCACAAGTATTGCAATGGAAAACAGTGGTCAGAAGTATTTTCTTTCCCCTGGCAGTTTAGAACATAATAGTAGTCATAAGTATTTTATATGTTTTATTGTGGGTGAAGCTGGGGCTTAACTTTTCAGCAGGGATGTTTTGTAGGTGTTGGATCAGACTTAAAATGTCTGTGGAGCGTGACAGTTATCACAGCTTTTTGTTTCAAGTTTTAAGAGTGCATGCAATATTAAATATAATCAGGGTGTCTTTTTTTTTATTTTAGGAGGCTGAATATGGTGGACATGATCAGATTGATTTATATGATGATGTAATTTCTCCATCTGCAAATAATGGAGATGCCCCAGAGGATCGTGATTACATGGATTCTCTCCCACCATCGGTTGGGGATGATGTAGGTAAAGGAGCTGCACCAAATGTTGTCTATACATATACTGGAAAGAGAATTGCCTTGTACATTGGAAATCTTACTTGGGTAAGTATCTTACTGCTATTAAGTTGTAGACAGGAATTTTAATTATGGACAATAACTATTTGTAAAATTTTTTTGCTTTACAGTGTTTTATATGAAATATTACGAGTACAAAAAAAGCAGGTGATTTTGGTTTTGTTGGTGGTGTGAGGTTATTTTTATTTGTGGTTGTGGTTTTTTCCCTTTTACCTGAAATTTAGTGAACCTGTCTAGAGCTGTTCTGATGTCTTAAAAATTGAGAAAGTCTTCAGTAAATACAAACTTTCAAGTTTCTGTCACGTTTTAAGTGTTACGAAGCGATATTTGTGCTACTATCTTAAGTTTTCCAGAGAACTGAATGAAAGAGGAGAACAAGTTTAAACTATGAAATACTTTATACCTGTAGATACTTTAACGTTACTGAACAAACACAATTTTTAGTAAACTTTTGCGGAAGGTTTTAGTTTAAAAGGAGGTGGAAAGCTCTCTAGGATTTTCTTGAAATCACTTTTCACATTTTTCCAGGGGCTTTTTCTGCTGGCGGTGACTCTTATAACACAGCTGTTTTCAGGTATTTGTCTTGAGGCTTATTTCTTCTACCAAGAAGTACAGGTTTACAATAACTCGCTGGACTACAGTCGTCCTAAAGACAATTACCTTTGTTGCATTAAAGCATTTTAAAATCAATTGCAGTTAAGCAAACAAAGTGCAAGAGCTGGTCAGTAGCTGAATTAAGTGAAACTTTTACCTGTTTGTGGGAAATCAAATTCTTCCAGGCCCACACATGCAAAATTCTTATTTGTTTTCTTTTCCATTTTCTGATTAATTTCTTACTAGTGCTAAACTTGAAAAAAAAATGCTTTTATGGGTGTTTTTTTCATTAGTTATTACAGTATTTCAGGAGCTAATAGGTAAGTAAAGGAGCTGTTGACTTAACAGTTGTCCTGTTTTGAAATACCTGAATGGAATCAGCAAAATTTGCATGAATTAGCTGAACTTATCCAAGTCAAGTGTCTGAATTTCTAAAGCAAGTAGGGCAGTGTTCAGCAATTTGTACCTGTTACTCTTTGGCTTCACAAATTAAGTTATTTGCAAAAGTGCATTTATTTACTGTAGTGTTGGTATTGTGTTTTCTTTGCATTTAGCTTTCAGCAAAATAATTTGTTGAATTTTTAAAAGAAGCTTTTGTTTGAGGGAGATGGGATAAGTAGTTCAGAATCTTGAAAGCCTGCCTTGTACTCCTCATATGAAATATAAAGGAGTGATGGAATTATAGAAGTAGGAAAAAAACCCCATAAATATTAGTGTATTTATGTGTCTTTGGATATGAGTAAAATTGTTAAACATTACATAGTAATTAATAGGAAGTTACAGCAAGTAGATTTGGTTAAGTGGAAGCAGATGTTTCTAACCATAGTTTTATGTACAAGTTTCCCTACTTTTGTCTATAGATCCTGCTTTTTTTCTGCAAATAGTATGTAGTTCACTAAAGTCTCACTAGTCAAAGCTCTCATAAAAAGCACCTGGTTAATAAGGTATTTAAAATTGATGTTTGTATGCAAATAATAGTATTAGAGGGAGAAAATGTGGACTGGGTGTGGAAAAAGTAGCAGTATTTCAATACTATTTCATTAGCCCAGTTTAAGCTTTGCACTTTCAGAAGACAAAAGTGGCGCAATTACAAATTTTTTTTTGTATACTGTAACTGGTATACTGTGTGAATGGGGTTGATGCAATGTAGCATATGGGGAAGCATGTATATTAAAAAATCAGGTTTTTGAGAATTGTAAAATAAAAATGAGTACTTTTCAAAAGTTAGAATATATTGACAGCTGAATAAAGCATTCCTCTGGATCAATTTCACAGACACACACACAAAATGCATGGAAAACTTAGTTGCCCTTTGCCTGATGTTTTAGATAAACTTTCATAGTTGAATATTAAAAATATTTTTCAGTGGACAACAGATGAAGACTTAACTGAAGCAGTTCATTCACTGGGGGTAAATGATATTTTGGAGATAAAATTTTTTGAAAATCGTGCTAATGGCCAGTCTAAAGGGTAAGGACTTGTTATTTGTTTTTTCTGTATGTGTATGTGGACTGAAGTTTAGGAGCAAGAAAATGGGGAAGGAGTTCTCAGTTTTTATAACTATCAGTCTGTGAACTGATAATCTTTGCTTATTGATCAAACAATGGTTGGACATGTAATTTCATACTAGTGACTTAAATTTCAGGCATACATTTTTATGATGGTATTGTGTGTCTCACTGCTTTGTAAGTTAAAACTTGTTGGCCGTCTTCATTAAGACTATTGCTAGATTCGTTAGTGTGGTGGTTTTGTTTTTTTTCTTTTATGTCCTAGAATAAATTATCTTCTCTGTTCTGAAAACTAGACTAAGGCCTGTGAGATAGTTTCTGTATATGGTTTTCAAGTATACTTTTGTTTACTGTGTGTTATCTTTTCCATGAAGCATCAGGATATCCAGAAAATGGAAAAACTGTGGTGTAACTCTTTTGTTTCCTTTCAGGTTTGCCCTTGTGGGTGTGGGATCAGAAGCATCCTCCAAAAAGTTGATGGATTTGTTGCCTAAAAGAGAATTGCATGGGCAGAATCCTGTTGTAACTCCGTGTAATAAACAGTTTCTGAGTCAATTTGAAATGCAGTCAAGGAAAAGTAAGCTTTTCTTATGTGCTCTCTTGGAAAAACAGAAAAAGTAGTATGGCAGGATTTTTTCTCAGCATATGATATCTTCTACACAGTTTAAAATAGCTATAAAATACTTAGAGTCTAGCTGCATATTTGTTTAAAGAAATCACTTAATACACCAAAGAGCTGCTGCACTCTCTGAAAGAAGGTTGCAGATTTGTGCAACTCTTAACAGCTGGAGATGCTTTTTCAATTTCTTGGGGATGTAATTTTTAAAAAAGCACAAGAAACTTAACATTTGTAGACAAACTGGACTAAATTCCAATATCTGGATCATCTGTGTTTATGACAGAACAGGGAAGAAAGGTTCTGTGTTGTACTTCAGCACCATGTCTTGTGGTTCCCAGTCCTAATCATTTGTGGCCTTGGGCTGCATTGGAGGAAGGACTAGCAGTCTCTCCTGGTGCTCTTCTGTCAGTACAGAGCATAGTGTAACACTGCCATACTTCAGCAAAGCACACTTTCCTCCCCAGATGCTTTGGGTTTGGGTACAAGGAACAAGCTAGTGCTCATAGGGTCATGCTTTAGCGCTGCATAAAGCTTCAGACCGAGTGTTAAAATTCTTTAACTTATTTTGATGTATGTAATGTCACTTCTGCTTTTCCATTGCAGCCACACAGTCTGGCCAGATGTCAGGGGAAGGTAAAGCTGGTCCCCCAGGAGGAAGCTCACGAGCAGCATTTCCACCTAGTAATAGAGGTCGAGGCCGTTTTCCAGGTGCCATTCCAGGTGGAGACAGATTCCCTGGACCAGCAGGGCCAGGAGGTCCACCACCACCTTTCCCAGGTAAAATTATTCATCTATGGAGTTTCAGTTTTATTTGTGTTTTCTTGTTTTAATATGGCATACTTACTTGGGAAATGATAAAAATTAAGACAGTTCAGTAATGAGCCATTATCAGTGTTCACAGCTAAATTGTAGGATTTGACTGTTTCTTTGTTGATATTCAACAGGGAGTTGTACTTACTAAATTTAATAGCAAGCTAACATTTTTAGATACATATTTTTAATTATTAAAAAAATAAAATAGATCATGATAGCAAGTAGATTTGGCTTTAATGCAGTTCTGATTCGCTGTATGGGGTGAAAATGCCTGTGTTGCAGAAGGTAAAGTAACTGATTTCCTTATTATATTGCAAGCTTGCACATGATCAGAAATTCAACTTTGATTCCTGTCCATTGGCAGGTCAGTTAGTTGGCACTTTAAATACCAGAAATTTGAAGAAGAGGTGTTCATGTTTAGTCAGATATCTGATATGGATGAAATCTGTTAAACAACTAGGTTTGCACTGCAGTGAAGTTCTTTTTTCAGCTGAAGTATTTTTTAGTAAATGTCATTCAGTAGTAGACTGTCTACCAGCAGTCAAAGGGACGTAGTCAAACTGAAAGTAGGTTTGGATACTGCGTTTATGATACCTTCTCTAATATAGCTTTTCCCATATTTTTAATATATATTTGTGTCTTAAGCCCTGTATGAAAGACTAGCATCAGGTGTGAGTAGGATGCAATGTTTTCTAGCTTTTGTAAGCTTTGAGGGGTTTTGGTAACAACAGCAAGTTGTGTTTTGGGGAGGGTGGGAAGTTGTCAGTTTTCAAGATAATGTTATTCTCTTTAGATATTTGTAGATATCTAGTATTAATAGATACAGATAAGTTAAAAATTTTCTAAGCTACTGGACCCAAAGTGGGACCGTGCATGTCTTGTATATGTTGCACAATGTTCAGTGAGGGTTACTTTTGGTTTTTTGTTGTTGTTTTTAAGAATAGAAAAAGGCAAGAGTGTTAAAGTATTTTATTTCTTTGTACTTATTCACTCAATTTTGTTTGTTTGTTTTTATTTTTATTTTTTATTTCTTTATTTTAGCTGGACAAACTCCCCCACGTCCACCTTTAGGTCCTCCTGGCCCACCAGGCCCACCAGGCCCTCCGCCTCCTGGTCAGGTCCTCCCACCTCCGTTAGCTGGACCTCCTAATCGTGGTGACCGTCCACCACCACCAGTTCTGTTTCCAGGACAGCCTTTTGGTCAGCCTCCACTTGGGCCACTTCCTCCAGGCCCTCCACCACCAGTTCCAGGCTATGGGCCACCACCAGGTCCACCACCACCTCAGCAGGGTCCACCTCCACCTCCGGGTCCATTTCCCCCTCGTCCACCTGGCCCTCTTGGGCCACCCCTGACTCTTGCTCCTCCTCCACATCTCCCTGGGCCACCTCCAGGTGCTCCACCACCGGCACCACATGTGAATCCAGCTTTCTTCCCCCCACCTGCCAATAGTGGCATACCTACTTCAGACAGTCGTGGCCCACCTCCGACAGATCCATATGGCCGACCTCCACCATATGACAGAGGTGACTATGGGCCACCTGGAAGGTGAGTTCTTTTGGTCTAATGTGCTTGGGTGGCAGATTTTACTCCTCTTGTAGGAAGCATTTGGTTTTTCCCTTTTAATGCAAATGTTAGAAGCAATTAGAAGTAGGGCCAGAAGGGATCCCAACAGCCTTGTAGTTTGCCCCTTTTTACTTCTTCAGGGGAATATATCTGAGAAAGATATTTGCAGCAGTAAGAAAATCCTGAAATGCAATACCAGTAATCTCACTTTCCCTTTTCAGCTCTGAACTGTTTGTCTTCACTGTATTTGGCAGTGTCATCATTTCATGTGTTCTACATGTAAACTTATATACCACTTCTTATGCAGCAGCTTCTAGTTGTGCTTCTGTCTTAACTTGAAATTCTGACTTTTACGTGTGTCATCATGCTTTGCAGGCTGCCTTTTGAGAATGCTCTGGAGTTTTCCTTTCAAATATGTGCATATGTTGAGATCATACCAAGCTCGTACCATTTTCATCTTCCAGCAGCATTGCTTGTCTGTTTTCTCTTCAGGATTCAATTAAAAGTTAGTGTTTGTCTCAAAAACCAGGTGTGCATTTACTGCAAGAGTTTTATCTTCCTCTCCTGTCAAGATGTTTCTGCTCATTTGGTGCAATCTTGCTGTGTTTGTAGCGGTGGCTTTTCCTATGGTTAATCCTATCTGGGACAGAGTTCTTAAGTCTCTGACTCGATTTGTCAAGTGCTTCACATCTTGTTTGAAACATCTTTTTCATCTGTGACTTCAAGTATCTCTGTCTTGCTGCTGTTTCTTAATTTTTGTATTTGTCGCAGAAAATTTTGATATAAACTGTAGGAGACACTTTTTGCAGTTAGATTTGAATTTTTAGTAGTAATTTTACTGCTAGCATGAGACACACTTCTCTGGCTTAAAATGTTTTCTGCAAAGATGCTTTGCTTTGATTCATTTATCACAAAGTTTAAAAAACCCCAAGTATTTGTACATACTATGTTCATATTAAAAAAAACTCTTGAAATTCAAGCTTTTGGCTTAATTGCCTGAAATATAAGAAGACTATAAGGTGTTGGGTGTTTTTGGATGGACAAAATCAAGGTTGTCTGCAGTTTATAGAATGTTTGGGGAGGGAAGGAGTGGGAATAGGACAGTATAACTTACTGTCCAGTATTTTCATTAATAATGTTGAAGCTATCATCCATAACTATTTAAATTGTCATTAATTATATATCATAGGCGTTTCACTGGAAATAACATGTCCATAAGAGAAAAATTACATATTCCATTCTATGGGAGGCACACGAAAAATAATACTCAAAACTCAGGGAGGTATGAATTTTTAGACATTTCCTCTTATGCTAAACTGGCTATAGGATCTTGTTCCACTTCTTGCAATTAAGAGGATAGCATTGCTTATTATTCTGCATTTTCTTTCTACCAGAAGAACTAACACTGTTCTAGAAATAACAAGCAGTGGGCCAGTTTGACAGTCTCAGCATTTGTCTCTAACACATTTCTCCAAATTTTCTATGACACAGAGACTGGCTAATAGGACACTGCAAAACTTTTGGGAAAATTTAGGTTTACTTCTGTGACTTTGTAAACCCTGTATAGGCAGCTGATAATTAAAGTACAGTGTAACGAGTATGAGGATTCTGCTTTAATGCTTCCTCCTTACTGTGACTAGTTTGGAGATTAAATTGGAGCACCTTGAACTTGACCAGAAATTAAAAAAAAAAAAAAATTGCTGTAAAATGTTGACATAGCATTCAGAAAACTGAGTGTTTTAAAGATGATAACTATATTTGTTTTTCAAAAGTTACAGCGTTCTGGTCTTAGTTAAGATCTGGGAAACAGGATCATATAGTTCTGATTCCAGTATTGTTATAAAAATTATCTCTAATTTTGCTCAAAGTTGCATTGCCTATGTACATGTATTTCCACATCCATTCAGTTGGGAATATCTATTTACATACCTTCAAGAATTTTATGCAAATTGTAAATATTTGTAAAGCACAATATTAAGTGCTGATGAATGTTTGAAATAGGTGGGATGAACAAAAAATAAGTTTATTTATACAGCAATGTATTAATTGTTTTTTGGGGTTTTTGTTTGGTGGTTTGTTTTTTTTTTAGCTTTCAGGATTTTATACTGTAACAGTGGTCCTTAACAAAAACCAAAACCAAATCCAGATCCTGCTTTCTTTTCTGTTTGTCACTGCTTAAAGTTGCAAACTTGGATTGTTGAAATTGCAATGATAACTTCCGAAGTTCTGCTTAACCTTTTAAATACTAGTTTTATTGCTTGCAGAGAAATGGATGCTGCAAGGACACCTCTAAGTGAAGCAGAATTTGAAGAAATCATGAATAGAAATAGGGCGATCTCAAGCAGTGCCATTTCGAGAGCTGTATCAGATGCCAGTGCTGGTTAGTAAAACTCAATATGTTTACTATTCTTCCCAGCTGAAAAGAATTTATAGGATTCTTTTATTAGGAATCTGGAAGGCCTGAAGCCACATTTTCCAAAAAGGATACTGAATTTAGGTACAACTTACGACTGATTTTGTACTGTACTTCAGTTTTTGAGAATGCCTTCTGAGTACTGATCTGGACAGTATTTTAATATTTGGTTCTACAGTAAATGATCTAGATGGCCGTTGAAGAGAAGATACTCAAAATGATAATAGTGTTACAGATAGAAATCTATGTTTTAATTTGCATAATTTTCTGATCCTGAGTTTACATCATTTTCAGGAGACTATGGAAGTGCTATAGAGACCTTGGTAACTGCAATTTCCTTAATCAAACAGTCCAAAGTATCTGCAGATGATCGCTGTAAAGTACTTATTAGCTCTCTTCAGGACTGCCTTCATGGAATTGAGTCCAAGTCTTATGGTTCTGGATCCAGGTAAAACTTTCCTCTTCCATCTGCTCTTACTTATAAAAGAGAAGGTGTAGGGCAGGACTAGTTCACAGAGAAGTCTGTAAGAAGCTTAGTGATGGCTGAGTTGCACAAGAAATGTGTGAAAGAACCAAATAAGCATTTTCTGAACTTAGAAAAAGTGCCTTTTAACTAGCCTTCCTTTCAAAATTGATCTGACTAGCTTAAATTTAACTCTGCTTTATTTCATGGTTTTGGCACACACTTTCTGTACACAGATTAGCAGCCATGTTGCAGTGATCATTTGAGTTATAGTGGATTTCCCCCAGCTGATTTCAGTCATCCTCCATTCTGAGCATGTACTTTCTGGCTTTTCTTTGCTAGATCAAAAAGTGGATGCCCGTTACTGCCTGTAACTGAGTTCTTAACCACCACTGTTTATATCAGCTGTCTTTAATGTTATATACAAAAACATACCTGCCTCATGGTAAACAGATATTTCTCTTATGTCTGTTTTTGGTCAAATTCGTGCTCATAAGCGGAGTGCAAGAGTGGTATGTGGATGACTAATATTTTGAAGAAAAATTTAATGAAGTAATTTCTTTTAGAAGACGTGAACGATCCAGAGAGAGGGACCACAGTAGGTCACGAGAAAAAAGTAGGCGCCACAAATCACGTAGTAGAGATCGTCATGATGACTATTACCGGGAAAGAAGCCGTGAAAGAGAGAGGCATCGTGATCGTGACAGAGATCGTGACAGAGAACGAGACAGAGAGAGAGAATATCGTCACCGTTAAAGGTGAGCATTTGTTTCATGGTTTTTAACTTTACTGACTTACTAGAAGTAACCACTCTAGGTTTGAGATTATTTACACCATTCATGTCTGCATTTAAATGATCCTGCAGTATGTACTGAATCACTTTCTTCTTGCAGCACCTGACATGAACATAGGTAAGTAACAACAGGTAACTGGTCTTGGGAGGGAGGAAGTCTGTGCAATTATCTTCTGCATTCTGCATGCCACTTCTTTTATTTTAGCTGGTAATAATGTTCCCAGTTTTTATGAAAAGCAGTTGAACCAGTTCTTAAAAAAGCAGTAAGCCAGACCATTCTCTTTATAATCTTAGAAGATTATATGAAATTTACTGTTTTATTTCTTAGTTGTACTTAAAAATACTAATTTTGTATTTTAAAATCTACTTGTGTAAGGACCGCAGCATTTTAGCCCTTCGTAAGGTCATGTGTGGATTATTTCAGTGTACATACACTTGTCCTTGCACAAGTATGGTGGTGATTTTTTGGGTTTCAGTATTTGTGGGGTTTGTTGTTTTGTTTTGTGTTGTTTTTGTTTTGTTTTTCCTGGTGAGTTTTAGTCAAATTCAGGAAATATTGCCAGATTTTTATCTTTATTTTATGAAATGTGACCTGTCAGTATCTTCTGCCTTCTAGCTAAATTCGTGTTTTAACCTTCAGTAAAATTTATTAGTTGTTCCCCTTCACCTTGACTTTTTCAGTCCCTCCTCCATATGATAGTCATTTTCTGAAGACTAGTAAAAATGTATGACACCAAGATTGATTCTTTTCTGGTTGTTCACAAACTAATGTGTTCTTTTATTTCATATATCTGAAGTTTGCATGCATCAGATGTCTAGACAGCTGGAGTAGCATGCTAAACAATGCTTTTTTTCAATGTACTGCTTTAAAAGACATACAAATATTTATATTTTATATAATATACCATTTTGAGGATTGGGAATTGAAGCTACTGTGATTCCTTATATTTGACAATTGGGAAAAAACCCTACCTAATAGTTACTCTGTAGCGGTCTTTTCCCTTTTTAGAAGAACTTGCCACTACCTCTACAATGAAACTGAAGCTTGCAGACTTGTCTGTCAGCCCAGCTTCCATTTCTTACATTTAACCTCAGATTTAGTTTCTGGATTTGCATGTGTTATTGATTCGTAGAGATTCATTTACAGAAGTTGTAGAGCAAAACTTTTTAGAAATCATATAAAATGTAGTATACTCCTAAGTAAAAATACAATTTCATATGAGTTAAATGTCAGCTTTTCAGTCAGACTTCTGTGTCACTGTCTGACTCCTTTGGGAGAGAATGAATTTGGATGCTAAATGCTCTAGTGTGTTGAGAATTAAGTGGGGTGTTGTACTGGGTTCGTATACTAGCAGGGGACAACACAAAGAAGTAACCAACCTAGAAAAGGGGAGTCAAAGGCTTAAATAGGAAGGTGAAACATGGCAAACAAAATAAGATGGTGGTATGTTTCTGCTAATGCCACTTTTTGCCATTAAAAAAGATTGGTAGAAATATTTTTGTAATTTAATAAAAATAGTAACAGTAGCTCTTAATTGTAAAATAACAACATAAAAATACAGATATAACAAAAGTAAATGTAGTTTCTTTTATTGAACTGGATATTTACCTTGTATAATAACTGCATATTTTTGATATTTGCAAATAGTTCTTACTGATAGTGGTAACCATTGAGCTGAGTAATGGATGTATTTCTAGAGTGTTTTCCTTCTGGTGGAGATGAGCAAGCCATACTAAAAATTGTTAACAGCCTGGAATTGAAGATAATTTTTTTAACCCTTGGCATACTTTATTAATCTAACTTTAATTTTTGTGTATTTAGTGTTGTGCATATAGATATGGACTTACTGTGCCAAGTATAGATTCCCTACGCTGTTACCCCAAGAAAACATACCAAACAGCATTAGGTTGCATTTTATAATTTCCAAAGAACAATTTTAAAATGAGGCTGTGGTTTCAGTCTCAGTTCAGGTGGGATTTATATTTGCAACATCCTTCAGCTTTATTGTGTGCTGGGACTTCTCTTTTCTTTCAAAGGGATTGTTGGTAAGATTCCCTTGTGTGAAGAAAATAGGTCCTAAGAACTTGATTTAAAGGGCCAGTTTAGTCTACTACATGTAAATGAAAGCATTTGGTATTTTTTTCTTTTAAGTTAAGTTGTAAACATTTTGTCTTGTTGCTGTCTTAATGAAGAAGAGCTTTATTGTAGTTTTGTTTTTATATATTTATACACACACGTATAAAAGAAATAGTTATCTCCTGGTTTGTATGTTTCATTTTCACTAAGATGTATGTTGCCATACATTTTTTGTTTCATTTTTTACATTGAATAATATTCATAAATGGATTTAACACTCAGTTATTTAATAAATATCAAAAGTGCTGAAAGGAGTTATTTCCCATAATACTGTGTTTTGCCAGACAACATGAAGTTACCTCTGTGCCTGCACCCTATGAATGGCACCTATACCTCTCCTAATTGTGTACCTATAGTCATAACTGTGATACTGTACTGGCATTTTTTTCCAAAGCGTTACACGTCTAGTTTAGAAGGATTTTAAAGGTCCAATGTGAACGTTTTTGTAAACAGTGAAATTCGGTTTGTACTGTATTACATTTATAAAGATGGGTAAAATTGGAATAACTTACAAAATGTGTTTATAACAATAAAATTCTATAAAAAGTTTAGTTGTACCATAGCAAGTGTTTACACTTCTGTTTGTACACTTCATGATTTAAAGTTAAATTCTTGCAAGATTTTTGTGCCTTCACTTGAGTAAGGCTTCGTGTACATCGATAATCCATTCTCCTGAATTAGTATAAGCTGAATGTTTCCTTGAAACATCTTGCCTTTGCTTATAGAAAGCCTATAGATGTAAAAGAGAACAATGGATTTAAGACAAATGTCTAACCTGTATTAGTCAAAAAAACTAAGAACCCAATAGAATGACATTTAGAAGGATTAACAATATTAATGTGTACAAACAGAATAGTAATGTAATTTCATCATCATGAGTCCTGACTTTTTTTTAGGCAGAATTTTTTTTAATTTAACTGATACTCAATGATGTATTTCCAGCTGATACATTGTCCCAATCTTAATCTGTCTGAATTTCTATATCTGCTGACTGTTAAATTTTTCATTTTATGTTTTTGTTATTGGGTTGATTGATTATTTCCTATTTAAACTGGATTTGGATTGAATTGCAAAGACAAAACCTCAATATTGTAACAGTTGATATGTATGTAGACTTTGTACTCCATATTTCGTGTTTATTCTCTGATTTTTCTGCTCTCAAACCACTGTAAGCAAAATAATTTGATGTCTGAGGCTCATATGCTCCTTCAAAAACTGCTCACAGTTCTCTCTGAAGTGGTTTCAGCTTTGGAGTGATCCAAGAAGTAACATGGTTGGAATTTTTTTGGTGTCAGGAGGAGGGGAAATGGTACTCATAGTTTATGTAGTATTCATTATATTTTTGCTTCTATAAGTAGGAACAGGCCTGTAACAGTGTTAACAACCACTTAAACATCAAGTGACATATGAAATTAGCCTTTTAAGAAACCTTGTAAATGAAGAGAAAAATGCCTATTTTTTATAAGCTATTTTAATAATAAGCTTCTAGTTAATATTAACTGAATTGTGTGGTAGCATTGTTCGAGACTTGAGTATAAGTACCTGTCTAGAATTATTATCAGATCTTAATATTAAGGTATTGCAAACGTTACTTACCTTATCTCTTTTTCTAAAATGTGTGTTTTTGAGGAAGCACATATGTGGAGCTGGCACTATTCTGCATTTAGCATTCATCAGAGAAATAATACTTTGTGTATCTGATTCAGTATTTGAAATCCAGCACAGCGTCACAGAGGCAAGGAGTGCCACTGCTTTATGTGCTTTTTACAGTCTATTATATCACTGCTCTGGTGCTTTACAGAAACTTAGTTTGTTCCCTAATGTTCAGTGATTTATCTCATTTTCTTGAGGGTGAAATGTTGATTTAAAAAATGAAATGAGTATCTCATGCTACTTATTTTCAAAAGCATAACTTTTATTACTTTTTTTCCCATGAATATATTGCTGTAATTTTATTGACTTCTGAGGTGTCTTTAGACACACTTATATTTTTGTGCTCCCCGTATCCTGTGCTTTTTTCTTTTATTTGTGAAATCATTAGTTTTGACAAATTTGATCTGTATGAAAGTTCCCCAAGAAACTTTTAAGCTTCATAACATAAGAAACAAAGAAATGAAAATGTTGATTTGATGCAGTGTTCTCCAGAGAACGAACGAATTCAGTTTTTTCCTTTTGCTCATTGTGGTTTGAGAACTATGATTTCTTTTTAAAAAAAAAAAAAAAAAAAAGGACACATGAGAGAGATATCTTCATTTTTATGTTTTTCTGTGGCAGCCTGAACTACCTTTTTGTCTCTTCCTCATATATTAATGTGAAAAATAATTGACAGTGAGTCATATCTTTTTAATTTGTAAACTAAAGATTGAATTTTCTGAACACACCTCACTGTTCATCGGTTATTTTTAGTGAATAGACAGGCTGGGATAGTAGGAGAAAGATATATGATGAATGAGACTAGTTTGGAAGTTTTTCTTCCCATGTAAAGTTATTTATAAAATCACGAAATTGTTGTGTTGATCTTTACTTATATGCTAAGATTGAACAAAGGTAGCAGGTAAGTACATGAATAATGGAGCGGGGGGAGTAGGCAAATATGAGAAGGTGCTAGTGCTGGTAAAATTGTATGTGTATGATGAACAGAATCACATGTATCTTGGCTTACATGCAGAAAGACAAATAGAAAGTCCTTGAGACAAGACAAGCTTGAAATTCCTTCTTTCTTACTATGTTATAGCTAAAGCATCAGAGTATTTGGAGGTTTGTGATGTTCTGGAATGTAGGTTAAATTAAAACAAATTTTGGCTTTCAAGCTGATACTTTCTGTGGGAGCTTTGATTTGTGTATTTCTTTTTCTTTATGTATAGAATAAAATAAAGGAGAATTACATGAAGGAATTCGTAGGAGCTTTTAGGATATACTAACAAAATGTATGTCATGCATTTTACTGAAATGTGAACATGTGAGATTGAAATTCAATCTCTGAAAATATCAGAAATTAAACTACCATAACAAAAACTTTATGGGTGTATGCACATACAGCTTTAAAACTACTGTAGAATTTTCACAATTTTAAAAGATATTTAAAGCTTTTATGTACTTATTTAAATAATTGGAATTAAAGAGAAAAAAAATCAGAGTTGCTACTGCAAGATGCTTTTGATATATACAGGCAATCTATTGGGTTTTGTCGTGTGTGTTTGTGGGTAAAAAAATGCTCAAGTTGCATCTTGCATAAATACCAAGATGTTTGATCACTGAAGTCCTGGGATTTCATTTGTGGAATATTCTGGCATAAACCTCTAACTTTTAAACTCACAAAACCTATTTAACAGCTAAGTCTGAAATTTGGGTTTTATTAGTAGAAATGCTGAGAAACTGATTGCTGTGTGGTGTTAAATTGTACAAACCTAACACATGCTTGGGACGGATAGCTTATATATGAGCTTGAGGCAGATGGAAAACAGTATTGCTAAGAAATACTGACTAGAGATTTATTATTTTTTTAAAATTGTTTGTTGCTTCAATATTCTACTTGCTTGTAGAATACTGAAAAGGGCTGAGCATGAACGTATAATCCATACAGATTTATTTCTTTTTGGAACCACAAGGGTTTCCAGTTGTGCCGAGATATAGTGGCAGAATGCTTGAAAGCAAAATGTACACCACTTTGGATTTTAGTTGGTCATGTTTCTAAAAATGAAGGTTCAGTGTGGTGCTGACCATCTTAAATAAGCCCTATAATGAAAAGCATTAATCCTAAATTCACTTCATTGTGCGTTCTTTAGAGTCCCTGTAGTTCCATAAGTACCCTTACAAATCTAGCAAATTATTCCCAGGAACTGAAGCTTTCTTATGCTAGTATTATAAATCATATATATGGTGCTTTGGATCTGTTAACTGTCGCCACAGAAGTGATAAAGATCCATTATTTTGGCTGCAGCAATTGTATTATGAGAGCAGCAAATTCTGACGTGCAGTCTCACAGCTGTCAGTACTTAATTTCTCCACTAGAAAACTGAGATTCTCTCCTGCCTATTGCTAACTTAGCTTGCAACCCTGAACGCATTTTTCTTGTGGAGGCAGCACTTTGTCACGTTGCTACTAATTAATTTCAAAAGCACATAACACCTATGGAAATATTGGCCTCTGGGGAAGGAACTTCCCCAAAAGTTGATACGTTGATGACTTGGGAACGAAGTCTGTGAATAAGAAATTTCAGTCGCTGCTTTGGATTTGGACTAGTATATGTGCATACTGTAGTGTATAGAGCCTACCTGGTTATACTTTGGGATTTTTTTTAAGTTGTTATTAACAGTCACTTTTAGGAAAGGAAGAAGAAAAAATGAGTACTTAGTTTTGAAATTATTGTACTAGTAGAACAATATTTGACAGCTGTGTACTGTTGCATGTTCATGAAATTGCTTCTCTAAATGTCTTGTTTTTCAAATAAACAATTTAATGTGTTGGGTGTTTTAACAATTTAAGTATTTTGAAATTATTGAATGTTGAAATTGTGAATTATTAATGAAATTAAGATAGCTGATTGTTTTGTAATGGAATTCAACTGAAATCCAGTGTATGGAATTATACCATCCCAAGTATTTTGTGAACTTTTACGGTAATTAACTCTGAATTGTGTGGTTCCTTAATTTACCAAAATAGATGAGAGTAGGAAGTAGGGCTTGGGATTTTTCATAGGATGAGTAGGTGACAAAATCTGCAAATCTACAGTGTATTACATGAAAAGTGGGTTCTTGTGCTTAATCTGCTAGCCTGTATTTTTAGATGTGAACCCCATACAGCTTGCCACTAGTCTGAAAATTTTGATTATAATGGGGTCAGATTCTGTGCACTTTTAAATGTTACTGAGCTGTGAGCCATCCATTTCATTATACAATCAGCACATTCCTTAAATGTCAAACCAGCTTAAAAATTCTGTAAGTGGGCAGGTAAAAATGTAAAAATCTAATTGTGGCAAAATTACCTTAAATTCTTGTTCAGTTACTCTTGCAGAATGCATACTTTAGGAAATGTTCTATATCAATGTTGCCGTCAGTCACAGGAGCAGTAGCTATTTCTTTTTCATCAATACTTTAACTGTGAAATTTATATTCTTTCAACTTTTTTGTACAACAGCGTTAATCTTATTTTTAACTATTGTGTTAGAAAACAACACACAAACAAGTAGCTACTGCTTCTGGATATTTTGTGTTAGTTTACATCACAGTGAAGTAGATGCACGACTTGTGTATGTATAGATAAGCCAGCAATTTTCTGTGTATTATGGGGACTAGCAAAATCTACATCACAAATTTTGACACATTACAGCTGAAGGAAGAGGAACAGCGTGCAAGACAAGATACATTCTTCAAGGAAAGATGCTTGTCCAGCAGTTTGCTTCATGTGATTGAACTGAGCCTGTAAGGATTCATGGATAAAATGAACAGGAATAGATCTGAATAAAGCAAATCTGCATACATGGTAACCAGTAGCTCTTTTACTTTTTTATGTTGCTTAACTGTTTTATTTGAGGGAAACCTGTGTGATTTAAACCTTTAGCTTTTGCAACTTTATTACTGGTTATATACATTTGGCAATTATAATGTGCAAACAATTGAAAAAAGTCAAGTAAATGCTTGTTTTTATAGTAGTTTGTTCATGTTAAACTGTTCATATGATAATGTCTGTACACAGCACCACTGATTACCGTAGATGTAGTGTTGTAATAAACTGTTTAATGGGGCTGATGTGTAAAGCTGTTCAAGTTATTTGATGTTTACACCTCAGGGAAAGTCTTGTGTTCAGCAATATTTAAAGATAATGTTACAATGAAAACATTGATGCTGTCTTCAAAAACATTGCAATAGTTCTTGCATATGCCTCAACCTAATCTTGCATTCAGCAAGTTAAACGTACTAATGTTGCGCTCTCACACTCAATTTTGATATGAAAATAAGTGGTTACATAAAACCTTTAATACTATTTTGCTTTCTAGCAGTGTTTACCTAGGTGGCTTGTGAATTTGCTAATTGACACATAAAACTGTAAAAACTGCAGCACTCTGTGGTTGATTGTTTTGAGGAGAGATGGTCCCAAGTCTGTGATTTTTAGCACACTGAAAATTTTATCTTTCATACAGCCTTGATCCTGATTGACACTAAAGTTGATATAAACTTAAACTGTTCATGTGAACTTAAACTGCCCATAATAAGGGGTAGAAAGGTTAGGTTTAAAAAAAAACAAAACAAAACCCTGCAGTTGTTTACAGTTTTATAGTAATAGTGCTTGTGTGTGTTCCCTCTCTACCCCCAAGGCCGTAGCAGTCTGTACATAGTTGTATATTAGAAATGTGCCAGAAGAAACAAGATGTTACCATTTTTATGACTTTATGGGTTTGGTATTTTCTTAATACTTTGGGGTTTATTCACACATGCATATAAAAGAGAAGGTACACTTGTATGTCCTTGTTCACTGATGGGCAATATTTAAATGTCTTAGCAAAAAATGACGCAGATTAAATTTGTCAGATGAGGTTTTGTAAATTTACTTAAAAACAAATTAATGGAGCACTCAGTGAAAGCTGGCTTCAAATTCAAGAATTTGTTTTAAATTTCATCAAGCGTGAAATGCAAGTGAATAGGAAGTTCATATAAGCTGCAAAAGCTTAGTTTCTGGCAGCCTTGTGCAAAGGCTCACTTTTAGTCTATTGTAAATTGTTATGTAATGGACATACTCTGGAGTTTTCAAGTATTCAAATAGCCACACTTAATGTTTTAAGTTAAGTTTCAAGACCTCAGATGGCTTTAAGAGGCAACCCTTAGAAAACTCTTGATTTCTTTTTTTACCAATTTTGAAGATTTTACAGCCATCCTAAAACGTTACCCTGTTCAGGAAAGCACTTAAATCCATTTGATTTTCCAGAGCATATCAAGCACGTGCTTACATTCCATATATTTCAAGGAATGTAAATATATGCTTTAAGTTATCTTATTTGCGTACATGAGTGATTTTTATGCTTCGAGTTGGGACCAGTAGCTTGTGCAACTGCCCAAGTTTTGCAGAAGTTTGAAATGCTCTGATATTTTTGGCACCTGCTACTCAACCAGGTTTCCTGCAGCCAGGTTGATGCTTGGACTTGGCTACAGCTTCAGACTCTCCATTTTTTTTTTCCTACTTAAATTGTGTACCTCAGTTCCTCATGCATGGGATCACTGGTGTTTATTGAACTATTTGCTACTGAGAAGATATTTGACATGTTTGTTTAATCCTGTTTGAAAATGAAAACTGCCTTTAAAAATTTTGTAAAACTGAAAGCTGTGTCAAACAAGTCATGAATCACTTCCTGCTTTTTTTGTTAGTAGGTGTTGGTTACAAACAGTACTGTTGTAACTTTTTTTTTCTTTACTTAAAAACATTGTTTACTACTGTGTGTAATAAGTTTAAGGAAGAAATAACCTGCCTGTAGCTGTTACAAGGGGAATAGCTAATACTGGAAAGGCAGCAGGTAAGTAATGTTCCATTGAGTAGATATATTAAATTTTAAAATAAAAAGGTAACTTTACAAGCATTTTATGCAGGAATTGATATTTTACTCCACATTGAAATAGTTTTAAGGAGACTGTTGCTCTTTTTACATAGAGTGTAATTTCTCACTCACATACGGATTTCCATTGCTGGCAATGGAAATAGCAGGGAGGGAATAGCAGGGGGTAAATAACATAAGTTAAACTGAATAATCATTGTGACTTGAGAGATGAGATCCCTGTATGAAGCCCATTATTTCTGCCTGTTCTCCAAATACTTAATTTTAACTGATAAATGTACTGTGTTGCAATTTAGATAATATTCTCTTGAGTGAGTGTCCTTTGTTAGATTTTTTTTTTTATAAAACAAAAAAGAAATGTACAGAAAAAAATCCAAAGACCCTGATAGACACCAAAAAGAAATATGCGTGATGTACATCATGTATAACTGGATCTGTAGTAGAATTTTTACCAAGTTTTGGTTTATTAAATGTTCCTGGCAATTTCCTGTACCTGCTCAGGAAATGGCAGTTTAGAAAATAATTGACTGGTGATGATGCCGTGATGGCTACTGCTCTTGATATTCGTTCAGTTCTAATCCATCTCCTTTTGCTGATGAAAAGATGAAATAGTCTGTGAGGAAATACTTTATTTCTTTCAAACGTTGATTTTATAAGTAACATTGAAAATATTATGTTAAGGCTGTGTCCTTTATCTTGAAAGACAAAACCAACAAGTAGTGACTTAGGAGTGGTGGTGCTTTAGCAACAGTTGTTGTTTTATTGGTGATTTGTTTTTTAGACGTAGAGAGTGATTTTTTTTTAAAGTAAAATTTTTATTGGACTATAGGTTTTGACAGGTCAAAAGTACTTCAGAAGAAGAACATAGCATTTTGGAAACTGTACAGTCTTTTTTTCCTCATTCCCTTTTTACTTTCTGTGCCAATAACTTTTGTTCTGATTACATTTTGAAAAATGTTTGTCAGAACTTCAAATTTTTATTTACAGTGTGGCTTATAAGCTTGGATAGCTGTTGTTTTTGTGTTAAACAAAATATTTTTATTAAATTTAGACATTAGCTTTTTTTTTTGTGGACTGAGTACGTTCTGGTTTTGTTCCTCTGAAATTGGTGAGGCTTAGTTTTTCTAACTGTATTTTTTTACCTGATTGTTTAGTTGCATACCCAAACCCTTGTAAATGTTTTCCTAGTTATATGTGGATAATTGGAGATTTAAATGTTGTATATACTTGTCATCTGTGTTTCTAGTAAAATACATGGCATTCTTTATAGAAATACTTAATTCCTGATTTTCATTTCTTATCCACTTGCTCTCTTGTGTACAGGTTAAATAGACTTTGCTCCTATTTTTACTTATAGAATTTTATACATAGCCTGTTAAAGTTGTCTTTGGTTCTTGTATAAACTGAGATACAGCCTTAAATTTCCTGATACAACACTTGTTAAGATACTGTCAGTCATGTAGATTCAAATATAAAACATGCATGTTTAAGACTGGTACTCTTCAAAGATCGAAGACACTAAATTACTTCTGCATTGAAATATAAGCCCTTCAAGATTTTAGGGAAGGAAAGTACGAGTCAGTGTCCATATACTTGAAGAAATTTCAATTCTTTCCAAAATAACAATTTTGACATAGGAAAGAAGCAATGTGGATTCACCTAGTATTTAAATTATTTTGGTAATTGACTGCACAGGTCTCGAACTTAATGGTTGCAGCATGCTATTGAATCATGATGTTTATGCAGAAATACTGTCTCTTGCAATTATGATGCCTTGCAATTAATATTTCAGACTGGCTTGGGGTGGGTGGGGGTGTTGAGGTGGTTTTTTGGTTTTGTAGTTGTTTCCCTCTCCTTCTCTACACCCCCTGACCCCCCATTAAGGTCTGATATCCCATGTATTTTAGATTAATTTTCGTTTTAGAGGATAAATTTACTGAGGACAAGTTTGGAGCATAGTTCATCAGTTTCATGTTCTTGGGGGATTTTCTTCCCCCATGTTGGACGAAGTACAATAAAGCTCCTCATTCTATTTGTATATGATAAGCTTGTTAGTTCCTGAACCCATCCTATAGCCCAGTGATTGCAGTGGGTTCTAGGTTCTGGTATGACCTATGCCTGTGCTTAAATCTTTTAAAACTCCTTTGGAAATACACTAGTTTTACTGAAGTCTATTGAAAATAGTAAACAGTATACCTTTGATCCCAATGGAATGGAGCATTTAAGTTGTAAAAATTCCCATCTATTTATACCGTGTAATGCGATTTTTACATGATTTCAGTATACACTTTTGAGTATATTCAACTAGTAGACTTCAGCCTCACCATCTTGTACACAGTATTTTGTAATAGAAAATATTTTAAACTGTGCATATTATTCTTACATTATGAAACAGACATTTCCTTGATCTTCAAATGTAAGAAAATGAGGAATGTGTGTGCTTTTATAAATACAAGTGATTGCAAATTCAGCTTCCTTACTACTGCAGTTGTCTTTTTTTAAAATAATAAAGAAAGGGGGGAAAAAAGCCAAATGTTTTAAAGGTGAAATACATTCCTATTTGGTAAACCTTAGCAGTTTTATGACTATTATCAGCGCTGCTGACTTTCTAAACAAAAGGCTGTATTGTCTTCCTGTACAATTCCATTTCCTGGTTCCTGCTTTGCTCAAGGATCTATGAGTAAACTATTCAAGAGATGGTTTGAAATACAGGAGTAGGGTTGTCTAAGTTGGAATGCAGAATTGCAATGCAAAGTGTAAGGAAATGGATGCCTGTCAGAATGCCTGACTCCAAAGGATTTTATATATATAATAAACAGTTTCCTGATGCTGGCAGGCCAAAGAGTCTGTTGAACACTGGAGTTTTTGGAGACCTATATTTCTCCACAAGGTAAGATGGTATGCTAGCAAATGTGGATTTTAATACTTTTTCAGCAGAGGTACTTAATCTGTAAGTTTAGGGATCATTTCATCTTTTTTAGATGTTATACTTGAAATATTGCACAACTTTTAGCTTTCATGGGTTTCTTTTTTTTCAGCCTTTAGGAGACTGTTAAGCAATTTGCTGTCCAACTTTTGTGTTGGTCTTAAACTGCAATAGTAGCTTACCTTGTATTGAAGAAATAAAGACCATTTTTATATTAAAAAATGCTGTTGTCTGTCTTCATTTCAGCTTGTCTAAACTTCTCATTATTGTCAGTCTTTTCAGATTTTCAGACATTAAAACTTGGAGCGTGGACATTCTAACGAAGTTACAGCTAGATTCTGTGCTACAATTATTTCTGAATCTAGAAATAGTTTTATTCTTTAATCTTGTCCTTATCTGGTCTTTAAAGACTCTTTGCAGAGTTTACAATCAATAGGAAGTGCAGACTTTTTTTTTTAAGCCAGCCTTTTTTTTCTGTAAAATACGGTGACCCACATGTAATATATTAACTAAAGGGGAAAAAAATAAGCATGATGTGTAAAGCAATTTCAGTCTCTTAAAATTACATTTTCAGAATCAAATATCAGTATAGTAATGTTTGGAGCTGTGGTAAAACTTTTTAAAATAAGAACTTTTTATTTGAACCTGGTTTCTTGAATTGGCAAAATCTGAGAAACGTTAATCATTGCAAAGCATGTGCTTGTTGAACACAGCAGTTGTAAAACAGCTGTATGGCAGGTTGAACTTGTCAGCTCATCTCATGCAAACAGTTGGTTTGGTACCAATGACAATAATATCCATCCTCTGATGATTTAAAACTACTTTTGGTACTGGGGTTTCACGGGCAAATGTTTTTGCTGCTAAAGCAGAGCTTTGTGTTATATAAAACACACATCTGTATGTTATAGACAAAAAGCCACTAGCACTGCCATACTGTGCCATCCTAGTGGCGAGCTTTTCATAATTCATAATACTTGTCAAAGTTCATTTACTGTGGCATAAAATGAGCTATATCCATTATACCATCTTAGATTAATGGTACCATTTTGCAGTGCTGTCAACTCCAGCTTTGGTCTGTGATGAGCCTTTAGCATTTAACAGTGGTAAGATTATGTGAGAGCACTGGTTTTCATTTGGGGAAAAAAAAAATCATTTTTATCTTTATAACTACAAAAAGAAGTCTGAAATGTAATCTGATTGCCATGGAAGAACATTATATTCGTGCTTGTGTTTAACCCTGATGAGCAATTGTGCAGGTCTTCGTTGAGAAGACCCAATGCTCATTAGAAAAAGAACCTGAATTTCTTTGGGTAGTGCTCCAAACCTGCAATAATGGAAATAACATTCAGTAACTGTAAAGGACTCAGACATTAATTATTTAAAATAGCAAGCAAGAGGACAGGAAAGTCAGCTTGACCACTGAGTTTGCTGCTCTGTCTGAATTTCACCATTATGACCTGAATTTTTAGCAACACGAGTGTGTGTTGTGGCCTGGCTTCAATGACCAAGTGAAGATTCAGACCGAGATGGAAACAGTGTTGTGCTGTGGCTCGTGGGCTTAGGGGACTGCAGGCTTCCTCCTGGGTTAAGGACACATGGGAAAATCATTGCAAACTCTTGATTTTGAAAGTATCTTATTGCAATTTTCCTCCTGGTTAGGGTGTTCAGCAGTTCCAATTGCTGAATGGGAGAGAAGTGTAAAGCATCCTGTCCCCAAAAACATGGGATGTATACTCTAAGATAAACACAGTGGCGATTCAGTACATGGATGAATTCATTATGGAGGTGTTCAAGCATGGGTCAGCTAACCAGGATGCAAGACCATTAAGGTATGATTTGAAATGGTATCGGAGAATGAGGAAGGTAAGCACTGTGAGTATGGGTTTTGTTTTCTTTCCAATAGGTTTCCTGGGGAAAATAATATCCCTTGAGTTTGATGCAAGGAAATAATTCGATAATGCCTATTAGGAAAGCTTTCTTGCTCAATTCTGCTTGCAAGAACCTTACCTCCAACCTTTTTCAGTGTGTTCTTCATAGCTGTTGGTGAGCTGGAGGGAGAGAGCATGCTGGAATCCAGGCTTCAGCAGAAGATTATTGTCCTTGCTTGTTCCTCTCTCCAGTGCTTAGCAATGTGGAAGCTGGTACAGAAGTTTGCTCTCTGCTGCCTCAGCTGCAGGCTGACTGGCCTCAGCAAAGAGAGCTAATTCTTCCCATCTACCCTATCCTCTGAGGGCTGCAAACGATGAAAAATGCCAAAACCCAAAATTACCCACTCCAGGATAAATCTGTTCCTGTACTTGACTGACTAATATCACTGTTTGGCCCTTACAGTTGACTGTCAGTTTTTTGGGAGGAAAGGGCGGTAGAAGGCATTTGTGAGGTTTAGCAGGAGAGCCTAAAATAGTCACTTCTGTGAACCTTGTGTTCTTGTGCCAGCTGCAGTTGAAGGGAGATTACTGGGCTGTAGGAACTGTTTCTGTGAGGGTAGCTCTGGAGATCTTGTGCACATCTGCTGTGGATTTTGCAGCCCAGGCAGCAGCACAGCTGAGTCCCCAGGATGTTGTTAAGGGAAGAGGAAGTCTTCCCTTCTGCTGCTGCACCTTTTCTGAGCCAACATCACTGAAGGCACTACTGAAGTTTCTCCTCTTGCAAAGCTGGCATTTTGCTTCATTTTCTGTCAATATAGGAATTACTGATCAAGGAGAGGCTTTAATTTTGGAAATTTGTCTCTATGGAAGTGAGATACGTCTTAAGCACTTGCTGGGAAGCAGGCATTGAGTAAGGAGTTGGAAGTGTCCTTCTTTGACCTTTGTTAGTTTGGAATGGGAAGAAATGCTCAGGCTCAAAGTATTAGTGCTGTTCTCTGTCTTGTAATTTTCCCCTGGTTCATCCTTCAAACAGTTTCATAATACTGCAGCTTGTCCAGGGGAGATGGTAAGCTGCAAAACAGAGGAGCAGCAGAAAGCAAATCAAATGCCAAAATCAGCAGAGCAAAGTCTGTATGAAGCTGTGAAAGGCAAGTTTGTCCAGTGCAGGTTGACTAAAGGAAGACAGAGGTATGTGTGTAGCTTATGATCACAAAGATACCTTTCTTACAGGCATTATTATATGAAATTCAGGTGCATGCACCTGAGTGTCTATACCCTGAAATGTTAGACTATAACAAATCATGACACACCAGGTAAGGAAATGCTGGTTTAATTATTTTGGGGCCAGGATGTCTGTTTTGCATTGGGAATTGGCTGAGTCCCCTTAGAGGTCTGTGACATTACACTCTCAGAAATAATCAACTGAGAAAGGAGTTTTTCCAAGTTAATCTCTGCATTTTTCCAAAGACAACCACCTGGTTAGCATAGCATATTTGTTGCAGGAATGTAGTCTGCATAGTCAACACCTCTGACAGTGGGTTTGGCGTATCCTAAAGTACTTAAAGCATAACACTACTTGATTTTCTGAAGGGATCTTGACTAACAACAGAGATTAAATTCTTCACTATGTCTGGAGTAGTTATGAGTTTATGTTCATTCATGTTCTATAAGTACAGGTAAGACCAATGCTGCTCAGGAGACTTGTGTAATAGATGGACAGATTAACTGGAACTGCAAGAGGAAGAAAATGTATCCATCACATTGGATTTTTATCTGTTTTACCTCTTGGAAGATACAAAAGCAAGTGATTGCTTCTGAAAAATGCAAGGAAATGGCAGGAAATGGGAAGACAATAAGCCTGCTTTGTGTCCAGGAAAAGTAACTTGTTGGGAGAGCCTTAGAGAGGCAACGGAAAGAGACCAAAGTGAGAGTGAGGTGGGAATATATTTTCTTTCTTTGCCTGAAGAAAGGAGGTGAAAGATGCAGAAGCAGTGTGATGGAGTGGTAGCTGCAGAGTGCAGCATGTTTAGTTTCAAGGATGCTGCAAGCTGAGAGGTGCTGTGCTGCCCTTGGCCTGAGGGAAGGAGAAGAGCAGTGCTGTTAAGATTTTTTGCTTACTATATTTTTGATGATGAGTTTGAGCTGGAAGCGAGTCAGAGAAGTAACATAATGTCTATATTACATAACATGTAATATAGAAAACAATGAGATGCTGGTCAGCTCAGACTTAAATGGTGAGACACAAATTATATGGTGTTTAAGGAACTAATCAAATTCTCTACCTTTTTTACTCTGCTCTTTTTCTGCTCCTGGAGAGACTGTGAAAAACAGTTGCAGCCCAGTAGAAATAGAGTTCTCTTTGCTGCAGATAGAGGATTGCTATTCCTTTTAATTATCTGAATCTGCTAATGCATCTCTTCTGAACAATTTGCAGAAAATTATTAGCATCATGATGACGATGATGATTAGCACTTTGCTTCCCATCAGACTGCTGGAAGTCTTGTAAACCTTGTGCTCTTTGTATAAATGGGAAGTAAAATTAATTTCTTTTCATACAGGGCTTCCCAGTTTTACAGAAAGGATTCAGGGTAAACAGATGGTTTTAAAAATTATATATTGCTGAACAATTTTCAAAACAATTTGAATCTACTTAGCACTGGCACCCATTGAGTAGATTTTTTTTCTTTTTATCCTGTATATTAATGGTAAAGGTGTCCTGTCACACAAGGAAGGATATGTTCAAAATGGGATAGATGTGCAAATGGAGCATAAAGGGGCTCTTTCTGCCATCTAGAGGCATGAAAAAACCACTCCTTTGCTTAATTTATAATCCCATGAATTATTGTGTCTGCACTGTCAGCAGAACTGTGATAATCCTCAACTGTCCTAATTTTAAAAAGATAGCAGTCACTTTTTCCCCCCACTTTTCCACAAAATAAACAAGCTGTATTTTCTTTTCCTTGCCTTGACACCTCGTGAAAAAGCTCTTGTTTATTGCCTTATTTCTGCATATTATTTTGAATGCCTTTTGAGTGTACTGCTCTAAAAATCTTGTGTGTTTTCCTGTATAATACACTTGGAGTGAAAGAAATACTTCAATGCTCAGAAACCTTTATTTGACACTAAAAACGCTGGAAAAAAATGCTGTCCACACAGGCAGGTAAAATGTTGCTTGTAGTGGAATGCATCTCTAAAACCCATCAGAAGGGTGGGTTCCCATGTAGAATAGGCAGCATTCACCTCTGAAGGAGCAGAGGGCTCTACAGAGTTACTGCATTTCAGAATGGTTTAATTGATGCTTAAAACCGATTTCTGAGGCTTGCTGGTATCCACTTTCCCTGTTAACTGTCTACT